ACTGACACAGGGCTTTAATAATGGCATGTTGAACTACAATTCTACTACATCTGGAGTTCACAGCTACAATGATATCGGTATCACAGGCTATGGAAAAATGGGGGCTTTCAACAGTTCTAATAACTTTTTTTTTTTTTTTTTTGAGTCAGCAAAGAAGAGACACTTTATTGATGAAACAGAGGTATGCCGAAAGCACAACCAGAGGTATGCCTCTCCAAATATTTCTCTCCTTACTACTGAGCACCTCCCCATCCCACCATAGAAGTAACCCTTCAACAGTTCCAGGTAAGGCCCTTTGGACATCCCACCAATTCAGCATTTCAACCCACACAGATGATGCAAAAAGGCAGGACACCATGACATGGTTCACAGTTTCAAACTCAGCTTTCCAAAATACACATAGAGTTGATACATTACTTTGAAGCACACCAATTCTTTGGAGAAAAACTAAAGTCTTTAATCTACTCTGCCATGCAAGCCATCCCAGAAATTGGACTTTGGGAGGCAAGTATTTAACCCACACAAGTTTACAAATACTCAATTGAGAACTAGCATTAGCAGAAACCCCATTACATAGAGAAGACACTGAGAATACCTCTGTTACTGCTGCAAACCACACTGGTTTATCAACTTGATTGACCACCAAAGCAGGTGCAGCACCCAGGATATTCTTGAGCCTTGTGACCTCACAATCTTCCCAATCATAGAGCCTTATTCTAAAATTAAATACCCAGTCCCCTGCATTTTCCTTTCTCTCATACATTGTTCTTAGTGACACCTCCTTATCCAAGATTAAGGAAAATAAGCTAGGATATTCCTCTCTGAAACAGGTGGCATGATGTAATAACTCTCACACTGTCCTAACCATACTCATATGCATTCATATGATTCTGTCTTGTTAAGCTTGCATTTCAAGTCTTGTCTTTGTTCGCTTAAGTGTTACAGCATGCTTTGTACCTTGCTCGGTGTGGGTTTAGCCGAGGTCACCCTGAACCCAGGTCAGTTTTGAACCTCTTACATCTAAGGCCATCTTGGAATTTACTTTGGTTGACTCCACCTTCGCTCTGACATGTTGGCTGAGATGTCGCTATCTAGGCCGAGGTGTTCATCGCCGAGGCTGAGATGTGTATTACCTAGGCCGAGATGTTACCCTTGAACCCAAGTGACCTTACTCCTGGATTGGTACGACCTAGACCAAGGTGTGGCATATCTTGGCCAAGGTGTGGCACAGCTAGGCCAAGTGTTGTCCTTTCTAGCCGATGTCCTTGCCCCTTGCTTGCCGAAGTCTTGTTGTTAGCCGATGTCGTTACTTGTCGGAGTGCTCTTGCCGCCTAGCTTGTTGAGTACACTTTGTCATAGTCTTGTCTTTTCACTCAGTCACCTTTTTGAGTAGAACCAACTAGCCGTTGCCACGTACCCCTGAAGAGGGTTAAGTCAGCCGACAGACCCATAAAACATACATTTTTGTATTGTATCCTTGCCTTGTAGAGAGAGAGAAGCTCTAGGAAGGAGAAGAAGTTTTAGAGTGAGAGAGTGGGCTTTCGAGCTTGATTCCTAGAGAACAAACCGTTAGATTCGTGTATTGAGGTTAGATTCTTGATTTACTCTTGTTGTTCTTATTGCTCATCTAGCTGCATTGCACGATCGAACCTGTTCTGCACGTCATGCATTAATTTAAAGTTGGTTTTAGAAAGAGAAAATAGTGTTCATGTGTTCTTGAAGAAAAAGTCTAGTTTGATCCGAAAGTTTGCATTAAGATTCATGTTTTTGTGTTTGTTTTCGTAAGATCCTCGAGAATGGGAACCTAGGTCCATGTTTTCGAACTCATAGCATGAAATCTTAGATTTTGAAATAACAAGTTGCGATTGAATATTCGTATTTCTCATGTTCATGTTCTTCATGTTCTTCAGCAGAGGGAAACCCAGATTTTCCCGACTTCATTTCCTTGAATGTGGCCATCGAGGCCACACCGCGGCAAGGAGGTGTGGGACCTCGGCCTAGACCTGGTAGTTGCCCAGCATGTTTTCCCGAGATAAGAAACTCTGTTTTGTTTTGATTTGACCTAGACCTGGTAGTCGCCCAGCATGTTTTCCTGAGATAAGAAACAGTGTTTTGTTTTGACTTAGCTTGGTTTTGAAGGATGCCGAGATCATCTGTATGCATGTGAACTTGTTTGAAAGTGCATTCAACAGACTTTGCCATGTGTTTGTAGGACTTGGACTTGCCTTGACCCTGACGTTTGAAGAACTATGTGAGTGGTATTTTTAATAAAGCTATGTTATCATGTTTTGGTAAGCTTTGCTTTACCTTGTTTTGGAAAAAGTATTTGTTAAGCATGAATGACTATGCCTATTTTGTGCATCAAGTATTAACTTTGGTTTTGATAATCTTTGAAAATCTGTACGTGCTAAGGGACTATAAGCATTTGTAGCACAATCTTTGAAAGTCCGTACGTGCTAAGGGACTATAAGCATTTGTAGCAAAATCTTTGAAAGTCCGTACGTGCTAAGGGACTATAAGCATTTGTAGCACAATCTTGAAAAATCCGTACGTGCTAGGGGACTATAAGCATTTGTAGCACAACCTTCGTTAATGTCATCCCTTGGAACTTGAAAGCTTTGAAAGACTTCAATTGTTGAGACTTGAAAGATTTGTTAGATAAACTTGATCTGCCCTTGGATTTTGTACAAGATGTGATGTGCCTTGATTTCATAAAGATTTCGAATATCATTCATGTAAACCCCTTTATTATTTATACCATTCACTGAGTATCCAAGCTCACCCCTCTATATATATATATATATATATGTAGGTGACGAGCAGGATGGCGGTGACGCCTAGATGTACTTGCCACTTGTTTTGGGTTTTGCACTTTTGCAGCATCTTGAAGATTATGCTTCTTAGTTGTATTTCATTGTATTTTGTATTTGATGGCTGAGAAGCCTTTTGGTTAAGATGTATTTTTGTTCTTCATTTTGTTGTATTAAAGCTATGTAAGGATGTATGCCATTCCATTTAACTTATGCACTGCTCTTATGGACTACTTAGCTTTGAATCTATTGCTTCCCCATTTGTAAGCCCCATATGTATACTCTGATGTGTGTGAAACCTTGCAGTTGGCCTTGGGTAATTGTTAATTACTGGCCATCATGGCACCATTCTACTAGGGGTGGAATGGGGTCATGACACATATCACCACTTATCCAACCAAAACCTTACTCTACTCCCATCCCCAACCATTAACTGCCAATTATTCATGTAGAACTGTAGGAGTGGGCTATCAGACATAGCAATATTGATTATACCTTTCCAAACACTAGATGCACTAGGCCTTGTGCATGAAGTGGGTACCCAATCACTAAAGTCCACCTTGTACTCGCTACAAATAACCTTCCTCCACCGTGCATCTTTTTCACACCCAAACCTCCACCACCATTTGAATAGTAAACAATCATTCATCATTTTTACTCTTCTCAGCCCCAGTCCCCCTTGATCCACATTTTTGGACAAATCAACCCATTTGACCAAGTGTACCCTTCTCCTCACTTCAGACCCCCTCCAAAGGAATGAAGCTTGCAGCCTTTCAATCACTTTAGCTACCCATTGAGGTAATCTAAACAAGGATAAATAGTATACTGGCATCAATGCAGTTACATATTTGATTCAGGTTAACCTCCCAGCATAAGATAAAAGCTTTCTTTTCCAGCTAGCTAGCCTGATACGAATCTTATCCAACACTGGTTTCCAAGTTTGCTTTCTATTAGGATTAGCCCCAAGAGGCAGGCTTAAATATTGCATAGGCAGCTTCTTGATCTTGCAATTCAAAATAGATCCAAATGTAGCTAAAGATTCATCTGACACACCCACTCCACAAACCACACTCTTGTGATAATTAATCCTCAGGCCCGACATCACCTCAAAACACCTCAAGATCCTCTTCAAGCTTCTAACCTCCTCCTTTTTAGCTTCATAAAAAGGATAGAATCATCCGCGAATTGCAAGTGAGACAGCCACACATCATCTGCACCAATTTGCACCCCTTTAATAATTCCCATCTAGTATGCTCTTGTCAGTAACACATTGAGACCTTTAGCAACCAAGTTGAATAGGAAGAGGGACAGAGGGTCACCTTGTCGCAAGCCCCTTTGAGGACTAAACTCATCAGTTGGAGACTCATTTAGCAGTACTGAAATTCTAGCTGTACTAACACACTCCATAATCCATTTAACCCATCTTACCCAAAATCCAAACTTTAGGAGCATAGAACGTAGGAACCCCCAATTGACTGAATCGTACGCCTTCTCAAAATCAAGTTTAATGATCACACCTTGCTCCTTGGATTTCTTCCACCCATCTACCACTTCATTGGCATTCAGAACCCCATCTATTATGTTCCTCCCTCCTATAAAGGCTGATTAGGTCTCACAAATGATGCATGGTAGCACTTCTTTTAATCTTCTTGACAGGACCTTAGTTAGGACTTTGTAGACTGATCTCACTAAACTGATTGGCCGATAATCTGTTAATCCCAGAGGATTTTCCTTTTTGGGGACAAGAGTAATAAAGGAGCTATTCAAACCCTTCACCAATCTGCCATTCCTATAGAATTCCTTCATAAAATTAAGAACTTCGCCTTTTATCACCTTCCAAAATTATTGGAAGTATAACATGTTGAAACCATCTGTGCCAAGTGCCTTGTTACCATCACAATCCTTCACTGCTGCCAGAATTTTTGATTCTGAGAACTCAGTTTCCAATCCATCAAAATAGGGACTGCTACTCACTGATTTGAATAGGCCTCCTAAGTTAGGTCTTAACATCCACTCCTCAGAATATTGTTTCTTGAAGTGCTCAAAAATTGCAGACTTCACTTGACGAGGATCCTCAAGCACTGAGCCACCAACGGCCATGGATGTTATTTCATTTCTACATTGTCTACCCTTGGCCATCACATGGAAAAATCTGGTATTTCGATCCCCTTTCAAATTCCAATTCAGTCTTTATTTTTGTAACCACGTCCACTCCATCATTCTATGAAATCTCCATACCTCTTCACAAGCTGCTCTTCTTCTAACTTTCTCTTGTTGATCCAGCTCTCTGCTCTCTACTTGAAGATCAAGGATATGAACTTCCTCCTCTACCACTTTCAATTTGTTAGGCATAGACCCATACACCTCCTTATTCCATTGGCGAATCGCTAATTTCAAATCCTTCAGTTTTTTCTGTAATATGAATCCAGCCGAACCATTAGGTTTCGACTCCTTCCAAACTTTAGCCACAAAGGATGATAACTTTGGATGTAGACACCAAGCATTTAGAAACCGGAACGGCTTTGGACCCCAATCCCTTTCATCTTCAATCAATAGTAGTGGATTGTGATCTGAGATGAGCCTAGGTAACCCCCATAATTTTAATTGAAATCCCTCCAACCATTTTGGATCCACTAACACCCTATCTATCCTACTCCATTTGACCCCTTCCCTGGAATTACACCGTTTGTACTTTCTTCCTAATAAAGGTAGGTCCTGTACTTCACTATTCTCAATGAACTCATTGAGCTCAGTCAAACCCCTCTCTATTCTAGAGCAACCTTTCCTCTCACCAATATTCCTAACTTCATTAAAATCCCCACACAGACACAATGGTTTAGGAAAACCTTGTTTCTGATTAAGAAAACTATCCCAAAGCTTTCTTCTACCACCCACATCATTCGATGCATATATATTCAGTAAAACACACTCAAAGGAATTAAACATTGTACCTGATAAGAGTATGAACCGTCTGCTACTGCAACAAGCACCAAGTTGAAATACCTCTGGGTCCCATATGCATAACAAACCTCTAGCTGTACCTTCAGAATCCACTGACATGAACTCCATTCTAGTCCTCACCCACATTTCTCTGATTTCTCTGTTTGTAATAGCAGCTTTCTTTGTTTCTTGAATCAACACTATATCTATATTTCTGTCCTTCACCAACTTCCAAATCTTACCCCTCTTCTCTTGCCTTCAAATTCCTCTAATATTCCAAATCAATATCTTCATAGGAAACATTGTTAGACTGCAATGAAATCCCACCTCCACAGACACCCTATGCAGTAGCCCTATTCCCCCCCCCCAAGCTTCTCCTTATCCTTTTTTTCCAGTTCCACTACTTTGCTAAGAACTTCCTCTTCTGTACCATTATACTCTACGCCTAATATTTTGCCCAACTGTAGTGTTGCTTCAGCTTCATTAAAAATTCTTCTTCCTCCAACATTCCCATTCTCAGTAAATGACGATATTGAGGCTTCTACAGCTGTTGCTCTCAGCAGGGCATGCTTTGGAGCTGCTTTACTTGTTGAAGCACCCTTATGTTCATATCTCCTCACAAGATCAAAAAATCCCCTTCTCTGAGGTTGCTGCCGACAGTGGGTTTTTTTGCTCCATTTTTTCTTTCCTTTAAGCTTTAAATTGGCATCACTGTTGCTATTATTTATTTGGGTTTTGAACCCACTTGACTCAGTAGGCCCAGTCTATGAAAGATGGATCCCTTTCAGCTTTAAATTTGCATCACTCTTGCTATTATTTGTTTGGGCTTTGAACCCACTTGACTCAGTAGGCCCAGTTTGTGAAGGATGAAGCCCACCAAAAGCATTAGGCTCCTGGGTCAGGTCTAACTGCACTTCTAAGTTCACTCCAGGTTGAAGTAATGTAGACCCACTTAAGCTTTTCATAAACCCAGGCGTGTATACTTGGTCATCACAATTCTGACACTGTCTGCACAGTCGTAATTCAGCTTACCCACTGCCATCTCGAGCTCCTGCCCCAATCTTTCACTAGATGCTGCAACTACTGTTTCACTCCACCGATGCACCTCCTGTCCTACCTCAATTCTGTTCACTGGCCTATTTGGCATGTCTCCTGTTCCCATGCCATCATTTCTTCCAAGCACTTAGCTGACTCAGCTGCCCAGTCATCTTCATCTTCTCCGTCTCTGCTTCTTACCTCCATAGACATACCTACCTGTTCATTGGCACTGTACAGATCATCCAAGTGCATATGCTTCTTACAAACACAGGTCTCTTTTATTGTTTGAACAACCACCCTCCGTTCTTCACAAACCTGAACTGGGTATAGCACTCCTTTACAATCCATATTGATCTTCTTATTTATTGGTTCCATGTATTTAGTTGAAATCTTCATCTTTCCACAGTTGAACAATAGTGGCTGGCTTAGCTCTCCCTCAGTGCAGAGAATCTCCCCCCATAAATTCCCAATCCTATGCAAATTGGTTCTATTCCACAAATTTAAAGGGATTCCATAGCAACTTAACCACACACACCGTTCTTGTTCTAGCACTTTCCTTACTTCCCCTGTGACTACCTCTTCACACCAGTCCCCAAACATCTCCTTTACATCCTTCATTTTTAATTTCATCTCCTCTTTTGAATTGAAAGATAATATCAGATCCCGTCCTCCACCCTTCCTCACCACAACTTCCTTCATGTCTCTGGCTTCAAGCTCCATCACCATATTCACAGTGGCATACATCGCTTTCAAACGTAGAATCAGACTCTCATATAACCATCCATTGCCTATTTCCTCTGCCTTTACTGTAACAGCCCCCATTCCACCAGTATTCTCCCATTTTACTACCTGCACATACGATCTCTGCCCCACAAATTGATTCATTCTTTTACCCGAGTCACGTCATTGTGGCCTTTGTACTCCTAGACTCTTTGCCTATGGATTCGCATAGACCCTACCAAAGTCAGCACTTTTTACGACTAGGACCTTGTCATTCACCCACAAACCATTAGCTTTTTGCACTGTAACACTTGCTGCTACTTGGCAGCGAAATCTCACAAAGCCAAATCTAGAGGCAGTTAATCTTCTTCTCTTATGTGGAATGAAGACATCATTCACCACTCCAAACTTCTTAAACAGGTTGTAAAGACCCTTAGGATCCATACTTTGTGGCAGGTTATCCGCAAATAGTGTGTAAATGCCTAGATGATTATCTTCTCTCCTTGATCCTTGCCCCCCTCTTCGCTTCACAATGGGGATCCAACCTCCTCGATCCATCCTCCTTCACTCTATAATGCTTTTGTTCTTAACTATATATATGTTATATAGTTGGTGGGTGATTAACAGTTCTAATAACTTGAACCTTCAACCTAAACCCAATGGCAATTCCTACAAAAATAATTATGCTGGATACCAAATGGCCGGTGATGGGAGGCTTGTTGGATTAGGATTTAAGGGTGGGGAGGCATCAAAAAATTATAATAGTAACAATTTCTTGATGAATGGGAAACAAAAATAATGAAAGTATGATTACTATGCCGTTGTTGAGTGGCAATTTTGGTAACAGTTTTGGGAATGGATGAGGAGAAAGTGACGGTTTCTTTGGTCTGTTGAATAATGTCTCAGACTTTGATAGCAACTCTTTCCTACAACCATTTGGAGAAGATGATCTTAGCTTTAATTTCTTCAACAAAATCAACATTCAATCTCTAACTCAGGTATGGAAAAAGCTTATGTTACTTTTAGTAGCTGAACAAAAATTGTTGATCTTCTTGGAACTTTATATTTTCTATCCCAGAACCCAGACTGCATAAAGTGATACAATAATGCCTCTTTCTGTTTTTGGTTTTTAAATGTGTAACAGCAAGATGGTTCTTTCAGTTAATATCATGTGGAAGCTACCCCACTAGCAAGGTTCTAAATATCGGCTGGTACGTGCCGTACCGGCCGGTTCGTACTGGAAAATTGGATTGCCGAGTCGGATATTGGTCGGTATACTGGTGAGAATGAAATTTGCTTCCGTATGTGGTTATATTATGGTATGGGATGGGAGATATTTTAATATATATATATATATATATATATATGATTTTTCAAATATTTATATATTGTTTTGTTTTGTTTCTTTTTGTTTTTGTTTTTTTTTTTTTCCTTTTTTCTGTTTTGTAGTTGATTTAAGCCATTGTTCTGTGGTTATATTATGGTATGGGATGGGAGATATTTTAATATATATATTTATGATTGTTCAAATATTTATATATATTATTATTATTATTTCTTAGCAACGTAGTACCTGTAGAGTATGTTTCATACTTATTTCACTTCTTCATTCCTTTAAGTTGATTTATTAGACTCATTGTTCATGGACCTATTAAAACCAATAAATTAAGTAGTAGCAGTGTATGCTTGAAATTTCAAAATTAAGTGCCTCTACATATCAAAATTTTGATTAAAATGTGATAAATTAAGGCTAAAAGAGTAAAAAAAGCCTCTACATATCAAAATTTTGATTAAAATGTGATAAATTAAGGCTAAAAGAGTAAAAAAAAATGCATAAAATTGAGTTTTAGAGGGATTGCTAATGATTTTTGAAATTTCACAGCCGCGATGCCTGATACCTGATACGTACTGGTCGATACTACTGATACCGATACTCCGTGATCGATATCGTTACATTACCCGATACCGCGATTTAGAACTATGCCCACTAGTGAACCAGCAATCTCTTGGACAGGCATGTACCCACTTAATTAATCCATAATCAATATCATGGTTGATTGAATATATATGTACTTTTTATATATGAATGTTTCATTTTACTCCAAAGTAGTTCATTCAAAAACCTGGTGGTGGTGAGATGTTCTCAAATTTTGGCAGTGCCAAGAGTCAATCAGATGAATATGTTCCATCATTTGAGCAGAATCCTAGTCAGGCAAGTTTTGTGTCCAGTTGATTTGAAGGTTCTTCCCTTGATAAATAAACTATATAATGGGGTTCCTCCAACTCCTTTTAAATTTTAAATTAAATTACATCAATATTATTAAAGTAGGCATTTTGTTGTATCTTAATTCCCAATCATTTACAAAATGTAAATTTAAAAGATCTCAACTAAGTCATGGGAATGGGCTGGGACTTAAATATAAGACCCAAACCATGAGTTTTGACTGAAGAATAGGTTAAAAAATCTTTCAAAGCCAATGTTGACTTCGGGTAAGTCCAAAGCCCAGCTTGGCCATATGAGCCTAAGTTGAGTTTTAATTCAAATTTCTTTCTTATTTTAAAATTCAAAATTTATTTATAATACAAAATTTTAAAACGCATTACAAAAATTAGATTTTTATATTGAATCATAAAACAATTAAAAATGAACATTATTTATTGAAATCTAAAATTAATACACATATTATGGTTATGTTATGAAATTATATGTATCATTAATCTGGTACAATATAATTATTAATATCATAGTTGGCATCCTACTCACTTAATTTATTAGTTTTAATTTTATTCTTTTATTAAAAATGCACACATACACAAAAAAGTTACTTTTTTAAAAAAGAAAGAGAAAGAAAGAAAGAGAGAGATGTACCCGTATATGAAATTAGACTTTATATGCCTGGTTTTGGGTTGGGCTCTGAAGAGTCCATTGGAATGAGTTGATGGGCTGGCCCACGGACCCTCCCTTTGGGCCTAAGCTTAACAACACTCATTTATTGGTTTGGAAGTAAACTATTTTAGTAATTTTTTTTGTTAAAATATGATGTGAAACAAGTTTGGGATAGTTTGAATTTTTATAAGAAAAAAAGGTGCAAAAAATAGCTACAAAAGAGAATTTTTGACTTTTTTTGTATAATTTTTGGACTTTTTAACTACAATTTATGTTGCCAAACTTACCCTTGAAGTCAAGGAGTCATGGCTCTCCTAGTAATGCAGGCCTTTTAATTTTAATTTTTTATTTGAGTTTTTGCTCCATTGTCTTTCCCACATGTTGACATTCCATTTTGAAGTTTGATATTCCTGGAAAATTTCCTAACTGAAATTCGGTTTTGATTTTTGTTTGCAGCAAGATGATGAAGAGTTCTTGAAGCCAA